TTCAATTATTTTTTACCGAAAATGGCTTTCTGTGTTTACACAGAGACCACGTGACTATACACGTCCATACACACACTATCTTGTCGATTTCATATCCAGTGTGAAATAAGCTTTCCATCAATATATAGCTTTGTGTTGTTCAGTAAATATTTTATATGAAAATATCAGTTTAGAAAATCAATACCAAAAACGTGTACAGCATCCTTAAGACCGTTTTTTTGTTTAAGATATTAACACTAGATCATCTGCATAGAATAGGGAACTTATTTTACAGTTATTCAATGTAACTGGATCTAATGAATGCATGATACAACGAATGCATGATTTTGTATTTAGATACATATTTTTAAATATGTTATAGATTTCCCCCATTTGTACCATTATTAAGTAATTTATAGAAAAGCCCCTGTCTCCAGATTTTATCGAATGCTTTTCGAAAGTCTATGAAATATGAATACTATTTCCCCTTTGATTTCAAGTATTTATTGACAATAGTTTTCAATACAAATATCTGATCTGTAGTACAATATCCCTTACGCAATCCTGCCTGGTTGTTATTTATAATGTTATTATATTCAATATATTGACTAATTCTAGTGTTAATTATACTACAGAACGTTTTACTTACACAACTGGAAACAGCTACTCCTCTATAATTTTCTGGGTCAGTTTTGTCTCTTTTCTTGAAGATATGAGAGATAATACTAATACTAGTATTCCAAATATCTGGATAAATACCTCAGTCCAGGATTATATTAAATAATTTATGTAGTAGCTGAATTGAGAAGTCTGAACTGTATTTAAGTAATTCCGGGCAATTTTTTACTCTTTAGTTTTTTAATGGCTAGTCTAATTACTTTTTCAGATATCTCATTATTTAAATTATAATTGTTAATATGTTCTTTTACTTCCATAGCTTAAATGTTGGAGATTATCTGTTTTTGAAAAACAGTATTATTATTATCAGTAGCATTATTATTTAACTGTTCGTAGAATTCTTTCCATTTTCTTGGTGGAATTGGATTAGATTTATTTTGAAAGTCATTCATCTTGTCATTGCTGTTTAACTTTTTATAATAATCAACCCATTTCTATGGTGAGATTGGATTATCCTGATCCTTATTTGAGTCCCTTAAATTGTTAATAATTTTCAAGAATTCTATAGGGTTGTTATTATTAAGTTGTTTTAATTTGTTAATGATTGTATTTTCATCCTGTTTTTTTTGCATTTAATCATTTTTTGAATTTCTTTTTTTGGCTGTTTTAGATATATCTTTTTTGAGAATTTTACACTCTTTATTAAACCATCCTGCGAAATACCCGATTAGCTGAACTGGTGACTATTGAGTTAAAATCATCCACTGCTTTCTTTATGGATTTATCCTCATTGTAATTACGAGGGGCGTTCAATAAGTAATACCCCTGACTCACTTCTAGCTGTCTGATTTTGCTCTGAACTAATTGTGGTTTCTGATTTACAGGTGTTTGAACTGAGTCGAGTGTGAAATGGAGCCAGTTGAGTGTCACACAGCGATCCGGTTTTTGTATTTGAAAGAACGCACACCAAAGAAGACTTTTGATGAAATGAAAGAAACTTATTGTGATGATGCCCCATCATATGACCTTGTAAAACGCTGACATCGTGAATTCAAACTTGGCCGGAAGTCTGTGGAAACAGCTCCCAGACCTGGTCGTCCCTATTCTGCCATTGATGAGGCATCTGTCCGTCAAATTTAGACAGCCATTTGTGAAGATCGACGCATTACTGTTCGCCAAATAGCCCAAGATTAGTACAGGGTCTATGGAAACTATCATTCATGATCATTTGCATATGCATAAGGTGTCTGCCAAATGGATTTCCAGGTTGCTCACGTCTTTTCAGAAGTAAGAAGAGTGCTCGAAGATGAATTTGGAGATGTGCCAAGAAAATGAGTCAAAGTTTGAGGATGGATGAAACTTGGGTCAATCACTATGATCTATAGACCAAAGCCCATTCAATGCAGTGGAAGCACTTGGGACTCCAAAGAAGGCAAGGTGCAGCCCTCCCCTGGTAAAGTCATACTCACAGTCTTCTGGGACCAGGGCGGAGATTTTCTGTTAAAGGGTACCACAATTACAGGAGCCTATTACGCTTCACTTTTGATGAAATTAAGAGAAGATATCAAAATCAAGAGGCGGGACAAGATCAGCAAAGGTATCCTACTCCTGCAGGACAATGCTCCAGTCCACAACACGTCGCCATGTCGCCAGATCAGAAGCACGGGCGTGTGGCTAGGTAATCTTCCCCAATCCCCCTTACTCTCCTGACCTTGCACCCTCTGACTTTCATCTCTTCCCAGCCATGAAGTTGTTTTTAAAAAGAAAGCGTTTCCCTGATGCAGCCTTGATTTCTGAAGTTACGACGTGGTTGGAGGACCAACCTGGGGTGTTCTATGAACGCCTCTCGTATTATATAGTAAAGTTTCTGATTTTATCTCGAATAACTTTAAAGGCTACAGTATCTTGATAATTAAACACTGATAGTTTATCCCATATATAACTATTGGAAGGATGGGCCTTGAGTGAACGATGTTTGATTGGATGTTGATGGATGTCTTCGATAGATCTGACTTGTTATCTGGTCATTATGGTATCTTGTGTTGTGTTTATTGTTGTATCCAGAATTTAGTCTCTCATATCTCCTGGCATGTCGATTGACACCAATCAGAGGTACAATGGTGTTTTACATGTTTCTTACCAAGATTGCAGTTCCATGATTGTTAAGATGTACAGCATCATTTAAGTGAAACTGAAGTTGGATGTTATTGCTATCTATGTCTTCAACACAGGAATCCACTGTATCGTTATCTGCTATATTGTTTGTGCCTGCATGTATGACAACATTTTGTAGGTCATCTCCAGTTGTTTCCTGGATGTATGCATCCATTTCTTTTATTTTTCGTCCTTGTAAGGTTATCACAAATGTATTTTTGTACACTCCCTTTACATCAATGTTCTTAAGCATGGAGTCACCAATGATGAGTGTTTGCATGTTTTTTCTTGGTCTTGTGGCTTTCCAATGAGGTACTGTTTTGTATTCCGTTTCAGCATCATCTTGCATGAATGGGTTGGCAATGGTGTTACTCTTCGCTGTTGGATAGTTTTAAACATCTGGCTCAGGGTAGCTGCCAATTCACTGTTGTCTAATGATCCTTTGTTATTTAATGCAGGTGAACTTGATGTCATGGAATTTTGGACAGTGTGTTTAGATGCTTGAGTTTAGAGTCTGATCTTTGTAGTGTGGCTGCATAACTAGTTGACTTTTGTTTTTTATCAGTAGGTGTGACTGTATGATTTTCTTTCATTTTGGACTGTGTGGTTGTTAACATCTTTGTTTTCTTAGAACCCTTACTTGCAGATTGCATGTCATCTGTGTTTGTTTGGTCTGTCATACATGTGACCTCATCATCATCAGAGCTGTCATCCCTGTATTTCAGAGGTTGTTTGTACATTTCTTTGTGGATATCTTCTCTTAGAATCTATCTGCTTTTTAGATGTTATCTTTAGTTGCAGCTTACCCTGAATGTATTTGAGTAGCATGGTCCATTCATTCATTATCCATGAATTACCCTGGATTAATAAGGTACCATTGTGGTAGACTTTGATTGTTACTGTATTACCATTTTGGCTGACTAGACGTAATTGTGTTGTCTTCTTTTCTTTATTGTCATTGTAAACATGTCTTGGTTCTGGATAAGCCAGCTTCAGGCACTGTAACCATATTCCGTTCACCTCACTGTCAGACTGTAAGGTCACCGAGGATTTGTTGAATTTGACTTTGATTTCATTCTCCTCTGTAATGTTGAACTAATTTAAGTACGATTGTAGATCTTCCTCTCCCTGTGATTTGTTGCCACTGTTACATTGTAGTTCGTTCAAATTTAGTTGACATAATGGCTCCTTTGTCTTGTTGCTTTGTGAGTAAATGCTTTCTTTCTTTGTTAATGGCCGAACAGCATATGTCTTTTGTTTAAAACAAAGTTGGTGTGTGATATCACAAGTTTAAGTTATCTATCAACTATCAGCGTTTGAAGAGTATACTGTTAGTCACACTTACTAGCATGGAGTTATGTGTCTTGTGTACTAAAATATGTTTTGTAACTTTGTTGTCAGTGGCTGTTGACCTTGAGCTGTGAATGTCTTTGATAGTACCAGTTCCACTTCATTGCTTCTTTTGATATACATACACATACACAAAGAGTTCAGTGTTGACAAGTTCTCACATATAACCTGGTATATTCACAAGTAAACTGGTATGTCTTGAATGATGGAACGACAATGCTAGGTGAGAAAATTCAGGAAAAACTTGAGAGCTTAAGTATCAAAACCCTAGCAAGATGGCAGCCATTTTTATTGATTTTTATAATGAATGAACATGGCAGGCACAGTTTGAAATCAAAATCTCGTTTTTTTTCGTTGTTTATAATGAATATTGATTTTAAACTACATGTGCCTTTTCACGAAACCGATATGATTACACAGAGAGGTGTGACTTTAAATAAAATTTACCGACTTTAAAAACACGAACTATTTGTAGACGTAACACCTGGAGGGTCACTCTATATGCCGTTACTACTCCATGTGCATTCCTAATTTAGCGTGAAAGCGGGGTGTTTTTCACCTTCTAAAGCGGGCCTGTGTGAAAGGGAGGGAGGCAAATATGCCCCTTTAAACTGCTAATGTATGCAATAGGCCCCCAGAAACAAACTTGCAGGGTTGCTGCACCCGCTGTAGGTCCCCTCTTGCAACAACTACTCCCATACACCGTCCTAGTCCCTCGGGGTGTTGGCCTTTCAATTTTGTAGGGGTGTGCGGACAGGAAGTAAAACCCCAGACCCCATCATAGACCATTTTCACCTCAAAAACCATACCCCATTATAAACCAAATAGTGAATATGTATATCCCATCAGAGGACAAATTGTCACTAAATTTATTCAGTTATAGGTTAAATTGTTAATGACTTCACTATGCATGCACTAAGTTTGTACGCACTGAAACATATTGCATTGTGGGACTCATTAACGGGATGAATGATGGCCGATGGACAAACTACTAAAACTACTAAAAATCAAGTAAATGCATGGAAATTAAAAAAAACACAGACCCCATCCTAGACCGGCAAACCTGATATTGGACCAAAAGACAAGACAATCTATACCCCTATTCTATACCAAACAGCTAAAAATTCCAATCCTGAAGGGCGGCACGTCCTAATAATGTGATTTGCATTAAGTCCCCCCCCCCGGGCCTAGGCTCCGAATTGGCGGACCCATAGCCCCGACCAGGTCACAAACGTCCACCTGGATTTTCCCACCACTTTCAACACGAGCATACAGAGGCTTACTGTAATCGAAGAAACAAAACGGGATAACACACATAATAAAAATTAACTGTAATCAGTGAAAATGGGTTTTATATGCGCGATATTTACAAAATATTTGCCGAAAATAATATTTAATACGTATATGGCTCGTTCCGCTAATTACAGATAATCAAAAATCTGTAATCAATCTTTACTTAATTTGAATATTATGTTCTTCGTGAAAGTTCAATGTAACGTGTAATGTAGGGGATAACTCAGATTGGTAAATAATAAAATTGCCACTTCATTCTATCACAGTCTGTGTAACAGTGATAAGTAGCATTCACGAAACTGATTTATTAGATCAAACAAAACTTGACCCCTAGATGGGATCTTATTCTAACCAATGTTAACTAATAACTCAAAATAAAGCATTTGAAGTGTTTTTAAATATACCGCTGGCATACTACAAAATTCACACCAACAATGTGTCATATTTGCAATTTTGAATTTTTCCTACGTTTAGATGACTAACTATTCTGTCGAATATATATACACTTTCAGATGAATGTAGAAATATGTAATCTACATGACTGAAATATATATAGATGAGGTGTATGTAGACAACACCAGACTCCACCTATTGTATCCACTGTAATTAAACTTATGTCATGATTGCTATCAAATATTTGTTGCATGCATGCCAAACTAATACCATCCTAAGCACATCCTCTTCACGGGCTGACTAGATTATACTGACCAATAACAGTATTAACCTAAGTAGCTCCTCAAAAATTGTAAACACCTTCAGCACTAACATATCTTGAAGTTGTAAAATTTGTATTGAAAATTCACATCACATCACTGCCCAAATATGCAGTTGAATCTATGGTAACTTGGAGATTTTGAAAAAAAGATGGAGACACTTTTCTGTTTCTCAAACAACCACCAAAATGATGCTTTTCAGAGTGATAAATTTGTGGCTATCAAAGCTGTTATCTATCAACCCTGCCCGGACCTGATACTAAAGTATACTACATTTATGAATCCATCCAACTTTGCTTTTGACAATCAGCTTATAATGGCAGTTGAGGAAGCCTTCCTCATATCAAATGAGTTAATTGGTTAGTATGTTTAATCAGTACTGTTGCCGCTAACCCAAACATGCTTGAGGTAGGTACTAGAGGTCCAGGTACTCATTCGCATGTTAATATTGCAAATACCACAGAGCATCTGAACCTTTACAATCATGTCAGTTGGGAAACCCTAAACCTTACAATATTTTATCTTGATTTTGAATGATGTTCTTATCCATGGACATGTTTCTGATATTTACTCAAACACATATGCTACTAATATATATATGCATCATACATACATACATACATACGTTCTCGGAACCCACCTATTCACATAGTTCATACCCACCATAGACTCCCGTCGGGAGTTAATCTGTGATTCAATCAGTAACAGAGAAATAAATCTAGGAAAAATCTTGAGATCATGGGGCTTCCCCTGACCTCAAGATTTTCCCTAAAGTCACGAACCACGTGACGGAGGTAATGTTGGTGATGCCACCTTCCCTCTATCTTCACTCTGGTTCCTTCTTTCTCCACACGGAGGACTAAGTGAACGCTACGGACAATATGGGGTGGTTGAGGGATCAATATAGTCAAAATGACTATATTGAACTGTAGGCAGAGTAAGGCGGGTTTATGAGTAAACAGAAAGTGATGAAAAGTGTGTCCCAGTCCGGGATAATGCTCTCCAGTAATAGACTACCACCTAGTTAGGACCGATGCAGGAAATGGTGTCTTACCTTGCCTGTGTCGTCCCCGGACTTCTAACACAGTCGCAGTAATCCATCTGATGATGGAAGTCGGGGTGGTTGGCCTGTCTTGCTTACCTTGGACAGAACACAAAAACATGTGCTTGGCACCCTGTCTTGAATCCCTAGTACGGTTTTTGTAGCAACTCAGTGCTCGAACCGGGCAGAGCAGCAATTTCTCCTGATCCTCCAGGCTGACAATGTTCGACAGCCGGGGATGGCAATCGACTGGGGATCGTGTCCTTGGATTTGCTTCTCGACAAGAAACCTGATGTCTTTAGCACAACTTGATTGTCCATGAAGGTGGCACGTCCGTCCGAGAATGACAATGCCGCCTGTTCTGACCGATGCCTACCTGAGGCCACGTCAAAAATTTGAGTGGTGCTGATTGGAGAGGCTCAAAGGGCGGTCTGCTTAGAGCTGACAACACAACCGACAAATCTCAATTGGGCGGTTCCCTTGTTCAGGGTCTCGGCCTCTTGATTATGGAAAGCAGTAAACAGTCCCCTAATAATAGGACAATCGGCTAGTCTTGTTCCCAAAGCGTTCTCAATGGAGGGGGACAAGGCCAACCTGTAGCCAACGATCTCTGCACAGGACAAACCCACTTTGTCAAACAGGTGGATGAAGAAGTCTGCTACCTGGCCAACAGAGGGATGGCATGGATCAATCTCCCCTGCGCTATACAAATCAGTGTACACACGCCATTTTGAGTCATAAGCTGCGTTGGTGGAATCCATATTTGCCCTGGCCAGGACGTTGGCAGCCCGCGCAGATAAGCCTTTCATCTGCTGAGAGCCTCTATGCGTGTAAGTGGTACACCACTAGGCTCGTTGGTAGTGTGCCGTCCGGTTGGGACAGCAGGTCCGGTAAGTCCAGAAGCACTACCGGTGTCTCGACTAGCATTTCCAACAGAAGTGAAAACCAAGCCTTGGTTGGCCAATTGGGTTTGTCCACGGGATCGACAACACATCCATGGCCCAAGGTCCTGGTGTCAGCAGGAGTGTTACATACGTCGGGAGCTTGGCGTTCCAGGGTTCTATCTTTGGACCATCCCACAGCCAAAACAGCATGGAGGCTACCCATTGGGGTATCTGCCACCACGTGTTCTAGAGACGAGAGGGCGTCTGCCAGACTGTTCCTCACCCCTGGAAGGTGGTGTGCACTTATCTCCAAATTGCTTTCCAGGCACCAAAGAAGAATTTGCTCTGCTAGGACTGACAACGATGGGGATCTTGTCCCCCGTTCTTGTTGATATAGGAGACCACTGCTGTGTTGTCTGTGTGAAGCACGATAATCTGCATTAGTTCTCGGAGGGACACTGAGGGAACGCTGACTAGGCGTTTGGCTAGGTCGCTTAGCGCCAAGCAATTGCGCCTGTGAAGGACGTACTAAGCCCGCCTCCGTGTCCAACTCCATGCCCAGGAAGACCAACTGTTGTGTTGGCTGCGACTCTGCTTGATTTACTAGAAAGCCCAACTGGTGTAGTAAATCCTGTGTTAGCCTGGTGACTTGCTGGGTGCATTGGTATGTGCAAGTAGGCATCGCTTAGGTCTAATGAGACAAGCCAGTCAAAACAGTGGATGGAAAGTAGCACGCTGCTTGGAGTCGTCAGAACTAGACGCCAGCCACCTGTAGATATTGGTACTACGAACACACTTGAGTAGAAGCCTGGACTTAAAGCCGGCTGTTCTACATTGCGTATGGTGCCCTTTGACAGCAAACTGTTTACTTCCTGTCTGATTGCTTCCGCCTTGTGGGGGTCCCCTGGCAGTGCTCCCAATGGGGGCACCAACAGGGGGGTGGGGATTTTAGTGGTATCTTGTAACCGTGTATCACTACCTGGAGCATCCACCCGCTGCCTCCAAGCCGGAATACACCGGCACAATCTGTGTGCGACAGGGATATGTGGCCATGGGTTGGCGGTTGTAAGTTGGGGGTGCTCTACTCTGCTGAGGTGAGTCCCCACGAGGCTTGAAGTAGTCAATAAGTTGCAACCTGGCCTCTCGCCGAACAAATGCCCATCCCCCCCCGTCACAGAGGTAACCGTCAAACATGGTTCCCCCGCTGCCAGGGTGGACGATCGCCCGAGGATGAGGAGGAGCCACCATCTGGCCCTTTCTTCGTACCGCCACTCTTCCCTCCTGCGGAAGGGTCTGATCCGGTCGGGGCATTTGGTCTCATCCCAGACATCGACGGAATCTGAGTCAGACACCACTTCGATTGGGTAGCGTTTGGTCCAGCACAATATTTCTGCATAAGATTACCCCAGCCGGGGCATTAGACATCACCTCCTCCGCAGACGACCAATGTCCGCTCTTCAACACAGTTTGTCCGCCCACCGCCATGCTCAGCACTCGGCCGGACCAGGAGAGGTGTGCCGAGGGGAAGCTTTGGATCCCGGCTCCTGCGATCCCATAAGTGTCGAAGCAACAGTAAGTGACTGCTCTAGGATCGAGGGTGGGGGTATGTACATCTTGTCATTAGGTTCGATGATACTCCGCATCACCCCTATGGTGTGGCTCACCGAGTCATTATGAATGGATGTCTCTGAGGGACCGCTCGATAACGTACTCACTGTGTCTGGGAATGCCTGTGCGTAATGTGCTGATTGCTCTGCACCAAAAACAGAGGCTTGGCTGCCAGCATCCCCGTCCGCTTTCTGTGAACGGAGACCCAATACCACTAGCCTGCACCTTGCCTTCATCGCAAATAACGGGAAGGTTGGGGCTGGGAACAGGGGGTTACACAATCTCCAGGCAAACTGAGGGGATAAAACCAGAGGCTCGTCGCCCTTGCTTCTATCCATTTCTAAAAACACATTGGTAAAAATGAACAAGGCATGCATGAGGGAGACAAATTACAGTTGAAAGCTGACAAAAAGAAAACACATGAAATGGTCAATTTGCATCGTCAAGTTTTTTTTCTTTGTTGTAAAAATATACACATAAACACAGGGGTAAGAAATAAGAAAAACTTATCCTACCAGCCACGGTGTCGGCTGCCGTGTTAGCGGCAGTAACCCAAGCTAAAACTCGAACAGGAAAAAGCAGGCTTCCAGGCTGGACCGCAAAAGTTTCATCCCGCTCGGTGTGGAGAATGAAATAGAGTAAAGATAGAGGGAAGATGGCGTCGCCACATTACCTCGATCACATGGTTTGTGACGTAAGGGAAAATCTTGAGGTCATGGGGCTTCCCCTGACCTAGATTTATTTCTCAGTCACTGGCTGATTCGCAGATTAATGCCTACAGTTCAAAATAGTCATATTGACTGACCGGAGTCTATGGTGCGTAATTGAACATAGTGAATTGGATTCAAACATGGTGAAAATCCCACAAAGGAACATGCGAGTGTAAAAGGATTATAAATAATTAGATCATCACAGATATTTGACAAGACTGTATTTCAATAAAATAAGAATTTTTGAGACTCACTTACCATAATAAAAGCACACTTAATAAAATGCATAATATACAAAGATAAAGAACATATTTGTATAAATATAAATCTCAAAATAACATTAAATTAATTTGTTATTATTTTTAAGATTTTTCATTTTTTACTAGGTCGTTTCTTCTTATTAAGCTTTCTTTTCCATTGTTTGTTTTTCTCCCGGATAAGTCCTTTCCTGTTTTCGCTTCTTCCCCTTCCTGGCACTGTCATTTCTACATTGATCTTTCTTCCAAATATTCTAGAATGATGAAGTTTCAGCCCTTTCTGTAATAAAGAAAAAATAGACTTCAGCTAGGTACTTGACATTTCACACCAAATTAAAAGTTGTATCAAGGCGTCAAAACTAGACTAATCACATATTTTAATTTTTCTTAAATGTTAGGTACTAGTATTTTACTCATGTGTAAAATAGACCTGTTATTCAAGCATTGGATCTATATACTGTGGAATACTTTATTTTCGCTGGAATTAATTTTCGCTGAAAAGGCTTTTTAGGCGTTTTACTTAAAATTTATTTTCACTGATTCTTGATGAGTTTAATGTGAAATATAGGAAAAAAAGTATATTCGCTGGATTTTATTTTCACAGAATCATCCCTTCAGCGAAAATAGTGAAAATAAATTCCAAGCGAAAATAAAGTATTCTACAGTAAACAGTTATAATCAATGACCTATGCTGATCATTGGTATTATCTTAACAAATATATCTATATATACTGTAAAATACTTTATTTTCGCTTGGAATTCGCTGAAGGAGTGATTAAGCAAAAACAAAATCCAGCGAATATACCTTTTTTCCTCAATTTTACATTCAACTTGTCAAAAATCAGTGAAAATAAGTTCTATACAAAACACCCAAGAAGTCTTTTCAGCGAAAAATTATTTCCAGCTAAAATAAAGTATTTTACAGTGTATATATTTCGCATTTTACTAAATGTTCTATTTAAAATGGCTTCAACACTCAAAATGTTTACAAATGAATTCACACATGGTGTTTCTGTCATCACTATAAATACCTTAAACAAAGCAAGAATTGACATAATTAAACCTCTCTTAAATGACATTAATCAGCACCAAATTTTAAGCATTTTTTTTCACGATAATTTGATTGTTTAAATAACAAAAAATAATTGCAGTACGATAGGCTTAAATACCCAGCTTTCTGATTATTTACAATACACATGTATAAGATTTGAAAGGTGTCTTAGTGGTCCTTACCCTCACACTTTCAAAATTGTCAAAGTCAACATAACCAAATCCCCTTGACTGTCCTGTATTCTTATCAGTTATCAATCGTACATCAGTAACACTACCACCTGCAATGAACAGTACATGGTAAGCATGCAGGGATTGTTTTTAAACAAGGGAACAGGGGTGCAGCGCCCTCATGCCATGGCCATGCACCCCCTTACCCTGGGAGGCAGTTCCTATGGCAACCATAAAATTCTGATTGACCAGGGATCACATGCGGCCAGTCTTCAACTGTGACCAGTCTGATTGTAATTTTGGCCCCAAGGAAGCTATAGAATGCTTCATTTTAACTTATCAAAAACTGCACACCCTATTTCCCCCACTTGATGGAGTCGGTGAATTGCAGTGCTCCCTCTTTCATTTTTTCTCTAGAAAAACGCCTGAGCATGGATTTATCTGTTATCTGTAGTCCATGTATTCTAGTTGGTTTTATGACTGTTATGCCACTCAATACCAGAGGGTTGTTTTACAAATATCACATATACATTATCGGGGTACATTTAATGAACATAGCTCACAGAAGTAGCTATCACAAAAATTTAAATATAATTATATTATACATAATATATATATCCATATAATTAAATTAGCATTTTTAGGTTGATCAAACGACTGTAAAATGATAAATACAGCTCACAGCCTTACCTATAACTTTATCAGAGAAATTCTTTAAATTGTGATCAACATATTTCATTAAATAGGTTAAGGTAGAAGCCTAGTCATAACTTTTGCCAAAATTGGTCATAAATTGCATGACAATGTTCATTAGTTTATCATGTACAATCATGAAGCTACCGTAATGTCCCATGGGACAATGAAATAGCATTATTCTGTGTGTCACAGTTAAGCTTTTTGAAAAATGTGTAATAATATTTCTTGAAAATTACTATTTTTAGTACAATTCTATAGAACACAATGTAAAAGAAAAACTTTATAGGAATCTATGATAAAAGTAATATAATACTGCCAAATTGGTGACTTTCCACCAAAATACAACCATTATTTCTCGAAAATTAAGCTGGTGACCCCCAATTTTTTTGATCTTGATATCTTTATATTGCCCGGAAGTACAATTTATTGAAAAATGAATACATTCCGGGTATTTTAATTTATAAGTAGGCTTCTACCTTAACTTCAACTTACAACTTTTTTATTATTGTTGTTTACCATACTCTATTTTGATGACCAAACTGCTCTATGACTGTTGCTTTTATAACACACAGTCTCACATTCATATTATGAAAAATCAAAATCAAAGAAAGCTTAGAAAGAACTCCCATGTGCTGAGAGTATTGGAGACACATTAAATATAATTTGAAATTACTTAGCTGAAAACTAATTATGCAAATCAGAAAATTAATATGACCAGATTTGAGTGTAAAACTAATGAGGTCTGCACAATGTAACAGAAAATCTATATTTCCAAGTTTAATTGAAATGTGATTAGAACCAAAAAATATGAATTATTATCTTTATTAGGGAATTAATATGAACAGATTTTTACCCCAAACTAATTAGGTTTGTACATTGTCCTAGAGCATCTTTGTACTAAGTTTCATTGAAATGGAATAATTAGTACTTTAGATATCAGTGTGAAAGCTTAAAATTGTTTAATTATGCAAATTAGGTAATTAATATGTACAGATTTTAACCCACAATTATTCAGGTCTGTCTATTGTCCTACAGCATCCATGTACATTCATTA